TTCATCTTTTCACGGTGTATAATTTACCTTTTCATCATTACTGTCTGTAATATAGAGATGTCCACAATATAGAGGTGTCTGTATTATAGAGATGTCTGTAATATGATATAGAAGTGTCCGTACTATAGAGGTGTCTGTAATATAGAGGTGTCTGTAATATAGAGGTGTCTGTAATATAGAGGTGTCCGTAATATAGAGGTGTCTGTAATATAGAGGTGTCCCCAATATAGAGATGTCCCTCATATAAAGGTTGGGTCTAGACAAAGAATGTATGGTGATTTTTCCTTATGCCTACTGACAGTATATAACTGTATGTAATACAGAGGTGTCTAATTATTTAAAATGGCTATCCAATCTCATCTAGGAATATTGAACACAGAGATCTACAAGTCATTTTCATTTTTTTTTATTGAGTTCTTCATTCCTCTCCYCTGATAATTTTTGGCAAACTCTTTATTTTCTTTGAATAAAGTTATGCGTCGATTTCTTTTCAATCCTGTCAGAGAGGGCTTGAGTATCTCCAACACTGAAAACCTCCTTAGTGCTTTGCATCGCTTTACTCTGTGTGTTAGTGAGGACTGTAGAGGTCAGGTCTGTGAACTTGGTGAAGTCACCTTTCCACATTTGCTACGGCTGTGGAGAAAACCTGGCATACCATATAAGGTAAGATTTTTTTCTTTAACATGATTATACATATATATTGTAGGAAGTATAACTTCTTTTGATTTGTCAGTTCTTTTTTTACTACTAATTCTCTGCCGACCCATCCGTTCATCTAACCAACCACCCATCTATATGCATCCCATCAATCCATCCATCTGTCCATCTAACCAACCATTCATCCATCTATCACTCCATCCATCCCTCTCTCTCTTAATATATTTATCCAGCCATTCATCAAACCATCTGCTCATCCCATCCTACCCACCTATTTATTGGACCACCCAACCACCCATTCATCTATCCATTCATCCATCTGTCAATGTGTCCATCTGTCCATCTGTCCATTCATCCACTTCTGTATCCTTCCAACTGTTGGTACTTCATAATCATTTAACCTATTCCTGWTTAATCAGCTGTGTTTGTATTCAAGGACAACATTGTTCAGTTTCTGCAGCTTCAAATGAGCATCCATCATCCATTGGGTGTACATACAGATGATAACGGTGCATGGTGTACAGACAGCAATCACTGGAAGGTATGCTACTTTATATACATTCTAAACTGCATGTATTGTTATACACAGTACCTGTAAATGGGAACTTTCCATAAAAGAAAAATATTGTTCTGGGACCCACACAGTTGCCCTGTAATGCATTGTCCCAGGGTTTTCTCCAGAAAAGTAGGAACAAGTTACAAGTTATATTTGCACTTTTTCAATTTTTTAGATTTTTATGTCATCATAGTTAATAGAGGGCAATGGTTATGAAACCTATTGTTATAGGTCTTTGTTCGCTTTTGATGTTGAACCGGTTTTGACCATGCACAAGGTTTGATTTTTGCTCATCCAAAATTGCAAAATAAGTAAATATAAACTTCGTGTATGGGATTGTTGTAAGGAATATTCAAATATCTCTTACAAATCTTTAAGTATTTTGAACTAGCAGCCAAAAGAAAGATTTTAGTCGGTTCACTCAGCCATTGCCAACATTGGTAAAACAAAGGATTGTGCAGGGTCACGCTTGAAAAAAGTGAACAAAGACATATAACAATAAGTTTCATGACCATTCCCCTCTATTAACTATGATGTCGTGGTGTAGCGTTTAGTGATGGACATAAATCTATGTCAATCAAATTCAAAAGGGGGAAAAAAACCCCAAAGAAAAACCCTTTTATCAAGAAAGTGACTTAATAAAATCTACTCACATGTGAAAGAAAATATATGAAAAAGGGATGAGAAGAGAAAAAATGGGAAGAGAAAAATGAAAAATCAGCATAAAGATAAAAAATAACAAAACAATATTTCGTGTTTTTTAATCAGAAATGTCTACATAAACTTTATGAAGCTATTGTTAATCATATAACACAACTGGGATCTCGCATTAGAGGAGCTGGGTGAGTTATCTTCAAAATGTGGAATCTGCATTATGTTTATGCCACTTATTGCTAAATATTGCAAATCCTAGGAACTATGATTTTATTTTTAGTTTTTTTAACATTTAGTTGCGCCTGCTGTCTTTCCCCATTGATAACAGCATTGTTGAAGGGTCTTTATCCTGCATAAATATTTGTCTTATTATTATTATTATTATTATTATTATTATTATTATTATTTGCCATTCTAAGGTCGAGGAAAAAACTGGTTCGAGTACCAGCTGAGCGGTGAATTTTGTTTTAGCCAATCACAGCTCGTTTAGCTATTTTGCCGCCGGCCCTTATTTCCAGGCTACTGCAACCCAACTGTATTTTTCTGTTTTCTTTTGACTAAAATATAATATACATGCCCAAAAGAAGCAGAAATATGGAAAGAAAGAATAAAAACAATTTTACTTTACCTCCATGTTTGCTTCGTTCTTTCAAGCACCAAAAATACCTAGGGCCGGTCATTTTGTCCACTCATGCTTTGCAAGCCGTGTTTACCGCTCATCTGGTTGACATTGCAGTACATTGTGCAAATGACATACATGTATATATATCCTAGATGGCGTCTACTTCTCTCCCTAAAACAGTCGCACAGCGCATCGTAATGTCAATTCGAACCAGTTTTTTCTCAACCCTCGGAATGGCTAATCGAATCACATTCATGCATCCAATACCATCCATCCGTCTGTCCGTCCTTCAAACATTACAACCGTATATATGTACAAACATTTAGTATTCTTACACAAGTGAATATAATAAATCTGGCGCGAACATTGATCACAACTTACGTCAGGTGAATATAGCGTGCGTTTGTTTGTTTGTTTGTAGAGATAAATAATTTTTTTTTATTTGTTAAATTCACTTGTGTTAAGAATACTAAAACAATTATTTGCCTCAGCCTCAGTGAACATCGGGGAAGATTCGAAGATTCGCGTCTCGGTAAACATTCACCAATATTCACTTCGCTTTCGGCGAATAATTGTTAAATATTCCTACCTCATATATACCTTATACTCCTACCTTTATACTATAAAACAGTTCTAAAATGGACCCTTCTCTGAAGACTTCGTTCCTGGATTTAGCGGCAGATGTTTTCCACCAGGTAAGAAGAGTTCTGTTATTTCAGTGTCATCTTCTCGGAATTTTCCCCTCTCATAATTTCAGATATTTGCTCATCTCTTAAAAACTTAGTTACCAATACTAGAAAACATTTTCAATTTTAAAAAGTCTTTGTAGTTGGAGTATATTTATTTGCAATGAGAATTCTTATATATTTTGTTTGTTGAGCTTTGACAGTGTGTCCATCATTGTATGGGGTRAGGGATGGTAGTCAAATATAGCGAGACTGTTTCAACTACTTGAATGTACTTCTTTTACCAAGCTTTTAATATTGGTGAAGTACACCAGTTAAATGATGATTTTAATATTATTTTCTTAATTGATCTCTGATATTGTGCTTATTATGGCAAACAATCAAGGAATGGTGGTCTCTTGGACTATTTCCCCTCCCAAAAACCCACGACTATTGCCACATTTTACAAGTTGTATAAATTTTCACACCTAAGTATTAAAAAAAACACATTAAAGCATAAATAAATGGGAAGTAAATGAGAATTAACAGTGGTTCCACTGCAATTGGAATGTTATAATTGATTTTAGCGAAGAACACGGAAAAACAACCTCGGTGCAAAACAGAAAACCAAAAAGCAACTCTACTCTCATACACTGTACACTGTACCGCTACGCGACCCTTGCATTTAAAAAAGGATACTGGTTTTATTTTGCGTTGGAATCGTCATCTGAATCAGAAGCAGCTTACAACAAGAGAAACTGAATCAGAAAACAGAGACGTACTATAATCRGAGTCAGAMGTTCGTCGCAATCGGAATCGCAAGGATCGGAAGGTTTTCTTTTTCTTTCGAGTCCGACATCCATCTGCTTTGATGCTGAAGAAATTGTATAAATGAAAAGAGCAGAGAGGTCTTTTTTGATCCTAAATTCTAAGTGTGAGATATAAGAAATCAAAAACATTCTAAAATTAGTTTAAAATTATAAATTAGAAAACAAATTAGTATTCGCATTTTATGTCTTACTTGGTTTTCAATGTCTGATTCCTTGGAAAATTGTCATTAATCAGTATCCACTGACTTTGTTGTCATTTTTGCCCCCTTTGGTTGGTTATGGATTGCGATACTTTATTTTACATTTGTCACAAGGATCGGAATCATGATTGGAATTTTCCCATAATTTTAACGTACTTTTTGGGGTTTCTTGTCAAAAAAAGATTGCACGTGTGGGACAGACCTTTTACCGACGTCTTCAGTTAAATATACAACAATATTCTGTATCTAGCCACTAAAAGTGTGTTTGCTTTGTCTAGTAAATTTATCTCTGTGCATATATTTATTTTCCCTCTTCTGTAAATTGACATTTCTATAAAATCAAGTGGTGAGTACAACCTGCCAATACCCCAGCTGCAAATCTATCGAATGGTGGGAAAACTAGATTCCAGCCTTGGAATCAAAACCAAAACAGTATGATCTTTMTGAACAGAACTTAAATAATACAGAGCCTGTCTGATTTTTATACCAACTCTCTTACCCCAAACCACTATTAACCAACTCGGTCAGTACTACTCCTTCAATAAACTGTTCGAATAAGTGGACCCTTAGAATAGAATCCGTTTTTTAGTAAAAAGCATTACATAATTTAAAAAGATAACATCAAGACATTTGAGATAAGGGAAGAAAATGAAATGCTTTTAAGTGTGGGCAGCTCATCTCTATTACAATAACTTCACTTTCTTTCTTGTCAATGATCCGTACATCAATGCGGTTAGCTCGTACTTCTGTCTTTTCAGCGTAAAGGGGGACGTCCAATAAGGCACTCACTTGATCATTCTCATAGGCTGGTTTCGGCTTGATTGGTTCAGCTGATAAATAAAGTCATTATTATTATTCTAGTGATTTTTATGAGCAGGTGGACCCGGAAATGAAAACTTCAAAACGGCTTTACGGGACGATTCGCAACGAATATTTTTCGCGATACGACTTTTAATACATGTTATACACGAGTCAACTTTTCGCGCAACGTTCGTTCGAAAATCAACATGTTACACGGGACGATTTTTAGCGAGTCACAACATCGTCGTCAGTCCTCCCGCAGTCTGCCTTATTAACAAACATGCCCAGTATTGTATATTATAATACGAGTGTGTTGAACTGCATTTTGGGGCGCGAAAAATCGTTGATGAAACTGTTACATGAATCAACTTGCAAAACATTCGCCATTCGGCGTTGCGAGTTTTTGAAGCTGAATCAAAAACTTCAACACGTTGGCGAATCCTAAAATCGTCGTACGTGGCATGTTACATGGCATCAATTTTCCGCGCAACGGCGTATCGCGAAAAATCGTAGTTGCGAATCGTCCCGTGTAACACCAGCTAAATGTTACGGGTTTGCTCTCCAATACTTCCAATTATTGATAAAATCTAAAACATAATGGACAGACGAAAACTGATAATTGCATAGGATCTGTATACAACTAAACTCTTAACATTAACTTTAAGAGGTACGGGTTTGCTCTCCAATACTTCCAATTATTGATAAAATCTAAAACATAATGGACAGACGAAAACTGATAATTGCACAGGATCTATATACAACTAAACTCTTAACATTAACTTTAAGAGGAAATTCTTATTACGAAGCCCAATTTCTATAGCTTTAGCAGCTGGTAAATTTTTGGCTCGTGAAGCAATAAAGAATGCGTTGAGGTAATTTGCTTTTGTTTCCAACGTTCTGGTCCAATAATAACAACTATTTTGTCCAAAAAAGTAGAAAAATAGAGTGATTTCACTTAAACTTATAAACTTAAACTTATATTTTACAACCACCACTCCCCATGACTGAGGGGCTCTTCCGTAAGGTTCCCTCCACACGCACTACCACTACATTCTATATTTACTAGTACAAATGTTGCTTTTTACTGAGGGAGGAAACCGGAGATCCCGGAGAAAACCCTCGTGGCAAGGGTGAGAACAACACAACAAACAAACTCAACTCACATATGATCTAGCCTGAGCCAGTGCTCGAACCCGAACCACAGTGGTGAGAGGCGAGCGGCAAACTTCTACGCCACCCATGCCACCCACTTCGCCAGTAAAAGAATAGTCAACGTAATACATAGTTAGTAGACACTAATTTTCCTGCACAAAATAAATTGCTTAATTTCCCGTCTCTCCTCTCCTCAAAAAATTAATGGTCCGTCCCTAAAGTGTACTTCACTCTAACTAAATAATTATACCACTTTGTTTCACGGCCAAATAAAATCACTCTACAGTACATCTTTGGTATCGTTTGACGAAAATATGGCGCGCACTCTAAATCAAAAAGTGGTCCCATCTAAGACTGCTAATGAAACTTTAAAAATCGTAGTTGATTATGTTTTTTAGATCCGAGATAAGATTTTTTAAAGTGCCTATCACCCTTCTGACAATATTCACAATATTAATCCTACATGGGGTAAGATGTTGAATAAAACTTTAGCTTTAACAAAACCATCATTATAACATTGAAAGAGTTTTTTTTAATATCCGAAAAATCAATGGTTGCTTATA